CAAGACATGTATGCTTTAGAAGAAAAATTAGGTGAAGAGGAGGCACAGAAGTTCATGAAAAACTTTGCAATCAGGCGTACAAAAAAATTCTGGGCTGGTAACTGGAGCGATATGACTATACAGGGTGTACCAAAAGTCCGTCCCACCCCTGCTAACTTTTGAACGAATTGAGCTAGGGTAATGAAACTTTGGAAATGTTCCTATCTCAAAGGGGACCATCTTTTGGGGGGGTCAAAATTTTGGTCCCCCCTCAGGGGGGGCGCGGGGGGCCCCCAACTTATTTTTTTCAAATAGCAACCCCTATCTTGTGATACATCATTCGATAGAGCATAAAAAACTAAGAATTTTGGTGCAAACTGCAGATCAATATCTTAATTTTTGACCGAGTTATGATAGGTCAAAGGTCAAATTTGACCTATTTTCAAAAAATCATAACTCCGGTTCAAATTATCGTAATGAAAAAAATAAAACGGGAAAATTTACCAAATTGTGTCCGCTTTTAAGTAAAAATTGCAGAAATCACTTCGCTGTAATTTTAAGGGGGGGCTCGGACCCCCAAATACGTCAATTCAAAGGTCATTCAATTTTCCCGCGAAAAAAGGCAATTTCCCCTAGATTTGCCTCCACATTATCTCAGTAAGGTCAAAATTAGTTCAACATTACGTAGGCAAGTCCCCAAAATTCGGGAAAAGTTAAAAAAAAACGAAATTTAAACGGTCAAATTTAATCACCTTGAATTTCGATTTTTTAACTTTTCCCGAAATTTGGGGACTTGCCAACGTAATGTTGAACTAATTTTGACCTTACTGAGATAATGTGGAGGCAAATCTAGGGGAAATTGCCTTTTTTCGCGGGAAAATTGAATGACCTTTGAATTGACGTATTTGGGGGTCCGAGCCCCCCCTTAAAATTACAGCGAAGTGATTTCTGCAATTTTTACTTAAAAGCGGACACAATTTGGTAAATTTTCCTGTTTCATTTTTTTCTTTACGATAATTTGAACCGGAGTTATGATTTTTTGAAAATAGGTCAAATTTGACCTTTGACCTATCATAACTCGGTCAAAAATTAAGATATTGATCTGCGGTTTGCGCCAAAATTCTTAGTTTTTTATGCTCTATCGAATAATGTATCACAAGATAGGGGTTGCCATTTGAAAAAAAAAAGTTGGGGCCCCCCGCGCCCCCCCTGAGGGGGGACCAAAATTTTGACCCCGCCAAAAGATGGTCCCCTTTGAGATAGGAACATTCTCAAAGTTTCATTACCCTAGCTCAATTCGTTCAAAAGTTAGCAGGGGTGGGACGGACTTTTGGTACACCCTGTAGAACAAACCCTCATGCGGTCTATGAAAACAGTCGGTGGATTATCAAGGGGTAGAAGTACCAGTGAAAATGTTGTCCAAAAATGGATCCTTGGCGCTCCAGTTTCATGCGAGGTTGCAGAATGTTTTGAGGATTTTTGTGATATTAGGTCAAGCACTTCAAATCAGCACGTAGACCTGCAAAAATCACGGATCGAAAGAGATGACAAAGACGCGACGAAATTCAAAGAGTGGCTCCAAATTCATTCTCCATTCTCAAAATCTGACAGACTTATCTCACTTTCTACCGCTGTGGCCGCAGACAAATCCGTAAATTGTCATAATGCCGAAGAGAGTGGAATGGCAGCTATGAAAAAAATTATCGGCCAAAAGGACCCTATGCACGGACCCCCCAGATGTGCCCGTTTCAAAAGTTAACGAAATTCATACCAGTGATAGAGGGGCACTTCCGGTCTCCAAATCCGGGGTTGGTTTAGTCCCCAGCCCCCCGAGTGCGACGTTGCCATTTTTGAAAGTTGAAACATGTTAAACCCCATAACTTTTGAGCAATTAAAGATACAAGGATGCGGTTTGTTTCAGTTGATAGAACATAAAAAGAGCTATCATTTCGTATATAGTTTTTATCCATTGTTGCCAAATTTACCCAAAAATCGGCAATTTTTCGATTTTTTCAAGGTGCAAAAATACGGTTAACCTAAGAGAGTCGGTATTGGGACACCACGTAGGAAAATAAAAAACACGCGAAATTAAAGCCCTTAATGTGAGCTTTCCAACGGTATATCGGTTTTTCCGGGGAAACGATTCTATCGCGAGATACAGGCCTTCAAAGTTCGACTTGCCGTACTTTTGGAGGTCCCCCGTCATTCGCACCTCAAAAAATCAGTACTGCGCACGCACATAGGAAAATGAGAATGACATGTAATGAAAGCCCTTTGTATGGGCTCTCCAACGGTATATCGGTTTTTCCGGGGAAACGATTCTATCGCGAGATACAGGCCTTCAAAGTTCGACTTGGCGTACTTTTGGAGGTCCCCCGTCATTCGCACCTCAAAAAATCAGTACTGCGCACGCACATAGGAAAATGAGAATGACATGTAATGAAAGCTCTTTGTATGGGCTTTCCAACGGCATATCGGTTTTTTCGAGGAAACGATTCTATCGCGAGATACAGGCCTTCAAAGTTCGACTTGGCGTACTTTTGGAGGTCCCCCGTCATTCGCACCTCAAAAAATCAGTACTGCGCACGCACATAGGAAAATGAAAATGACATGTAATGAAAGCCCTTTGTATGGGCTTTTCAACGGTATATAGGTCTTTTCGAAGAAACGATTCTATCGCGAGATACAGGCCTTCAAAGTTCGACTTGGCGTACTTTTGGAGGTCCCCCGTCATTCGCACCTCAAAAAATCAGTACTGCGAACGCTGGCAGGAAAATGAAAATGACATGTAATGAAAGCCCTTTGTATGGGCTTTCCAACGGTATATTGGTTTTTCTGGGGAAACAATGTTGTCGCGAGATACAGGCCTTCAATGTTCACTGCAGGGGGTTTTTTAGGTACCCTGCGCGGCTTGTTTCTTCACCCATCGTGATAGTGCACGTCCCAGGTCATATTAAATAATAGATGAAACAGGGCACTAAATAGACAATTTTTCGATCTCGTTTATCAATTCCCTGCCTCGGAAAAATCGATGGTGTCAAACACTCAACGTGAATGAAAACACTCAGAACGCATAAAGGGTACATGAAAAAAGTCGCAATCTTAGTGATTGTGTTATAGGGGAGACATGATACATAAAAAAAAAATGGATCCATTGTCTCTGAGATTCCATTGAAGTTGTATGTTTAATATTCGTTTAAAATTTGGTATGTACAGTTGGCAGTATGTATCAGGTTCGTCTCTGTATCTGCATCTGCATCTCTCTCTGCATATCTGGATCTGTCTCTCCCTGCTCGCCGCTGCATGGACGGCAGCCCACTTTGATAAGAACTCCGATTTTATCGTTATCATTTTATCTTCGATTCTGAGATCCGTCCATGCAGTGTTTTTCCTACCTGCTAACTTATGGAAAACAAATATGAATCAGTTTGTGCACTACCGGGTCGCAAGATGGATCTTCTCGCGGATTCTTGTTGTGGTAATAAGTCGGAAGTGCCGTCGGAAAATTGTTCGAAGTGCGGAGTCTCGTTGGAAAAAAAGGCCAAACGCGAAAAGCATTGGTTCAAAGGTTTACTTTTCTGTACGGCGTGCTACAAGGAAAGCAGTAGACATCGTTTACCGGATCGTGTTGAGGTTTATGATTCTCCCGATGAATCTAGTGACGGCGGTATTGATGGCGACAGTGATCGTGATAGTGCAAATGAAAGTGTTCTACTGACAGAAAAAATTACTCTGAAAATCAAAGCAACAATATGTAGCCATTCATACTGCATATTCGGTTGCAAAAGATCTAGCAGAAAACTCATTAAAATCAGTAAGAGCTTGAGAACTCTGGCTCTCGTCAAATATAGACTAATCATCAAGGAAACAAGTAGGTGTTGCACACATCATGTAAAAAATGACGATTTCAATGTTGACTGTATTAACAAACTATTCCCAAGTAGCACAGTGCAATGAAAATATTGAAATTAAATTGCAATTTGATTTCAAGAAAATTGTAATTTTTTTACCATTAAATTGCAATATTTTTACATCATTTGGTCGACTTATGCCGATTTTAAACAATCAAGAAAATGAGCTGCATGTCAGAAAGATAGGCAATATGCAATGCAATGAAATATTGCAACTTATTTTAATTTTATTGCAGTAAGTTTCAATGAACGGGGCCCCTTCTAATAGGACCCTAGGCAACATACACAACACTCAGTGGAATTGCAATAGTTTTACTATGCAATTGCTACTTATTGCAATCTATGCTACTTGGGTTACAGACTGATTTAAAAGATGCAGTTTTGTCTGCAGATGAACTTGTAGCAATTATAGACCAATTAAGAACTCATTCTGCAGCATCTTTTGCTGATCAAGCCAACAAAAGTGAGTGTTTTTTGGACCTTGTAGATGATTTTTCTAATTGGACAGGTCTTACTAAAGTGCAATTTCAGGATTTATTAAAATTCGTTCAAGTTAATGAGCAGGATGATGCAAAAAACCGCGTTGTGTTGGGCGCTTATCTAATGCACATGCATACAGCTTTAGCCGAGAATAAAATAGCAGCTTTGCTATCGATTTCACAAAGCACTGTGTCGCGTTACATATCTCTAGCTCGAGATCATTTGCTCCAGAGTTTCGTTCCAATTTATTTGAATAGGGCCGTGAATCGTGAGAAAGTGTTCCAGGAATCCACAAAAATCGCGCGCACTATCCACGGGATCTCGGACAGTGACTCAAAAATCATGACTGTGTGGGATGGAACCTACCTTTATTTGAATAAAAGCGTCAATTTTGCATTTCAACGCGCTACTTTTGGTGGTCAAAAAAAAACTAATTACGTGAAGCCCATGCTAGCCGTGACAACGAACGGTTTGATTATCGATGTTTTTGGCCCTGATGAATTATGGGCTGGCAGTGTAGGGGACGGGGATATTTTGCAGCATATTATGAGTACTCCATTGTTTAAAAATTTTTTTATAAAAGGAGATGTGTTCGTGTTAGATCGGGGGTTCGAAAGGAGGAGGGAAGATTTAGAGAACCTGGGGTTTGAAGTTTCGATACCCACATGCAGTAAAGGTAAAGCACAACTGACGGCATACGAGGCAAATCAGAGCCGATTGTGTACGAAGTTGAGGTGGGTCATAGAAAGCGTGAACAGTTCCCTTAAACGATTTAAATACTTTAAGACTCGAATCCCGGCGTTGGGAGTGCCTCATCTTTATGATGACGTCAAAATTGCTGCCGCGGTCCACAATGCATTTTTCAAACGTCTCAGTAGTGATGGTGACGATCCGCAGGTTGCTGTCAAAATGCTCCAACATCTGAACACACCCAACATTATCCAAGGGGTTGTGGAGAAAGGAAACTTAATTCGGCGAACCAGCCAGTTTCAGATCATGAATTCTAGTCATTTCGAGCAGATCACAGCGTGGAGCCCCGAAATTGTGAAATCTTTTGCCGAGCCGTATCAGCTTAAATGGGCAAAAAATTACATTTCAGACCACTTTAATAAAGCTGGCGATAACCAGTTTTATATTAGCAAAGACGACTTAATGCCAGACTTCAGTGCGCTCAACTTAACCCTCCAGAGCCCTATATTTGTGAAAGCAAAACAAGTGTCGCGGCATAAGTCAAATAAAGTGTACAACATTTTCATCTTGATCGACGCAGCCACTTCTTCGTCAAAAGCTGTTGTTGGCAGGTACTGCACATGTCTCAATGGGGCTAGGACAGTGTGTCCTTGCTCGCATGTCGTGGCTATTGTGTGGTACCTTTTCTTTGGTCGGCATTTGGAAGACCTCGAGTCACCGGCTGCATTTCTGCAAGATTGTTTTCCAATGATGAAAAGACGGGACAATCAAGACGACGCATCGGAGGGCGATGTCACTTCTGAACAGGATGAGTAACGTAAGTCCGTCTTCTTTTTTCTTTTTAGGTATTTCTACATTTTTTATCCAAAAATGTGGTTTGACACTGCGGATATTCTCATTATTAATTTTTTCACCCAAATTAAGCAATCTATAAATGAGGTTGGTAACTGTCTATATTTAGTGCCCTGTTTCATGTAATGTTTAATTGGACCTGAACCGCTACAATGAACATTGAAGGCCTGTGTCTCGCGACAAAATCGTTTCCCCGGAAAAACCGATATACCGTTGGAAAGCCTATACAAAGGGCTTTCATTACATGTCATTCTCATTTTCCTATGTGCGTGCGCAGTACTGATTTTTTGAGGTGCGAATGACGAGGGACCTCCAAAAGTACGCCAAGTCGAACTTTGAAGGCCTGTATCTCGCGATAGAATCGTTTCCCCGGAAAATCCGATATACCGTTGGAAAGCCTATACAAAGGGCTTTCATTACATGTCATTCTCATTTTCCTATGTGCGTGCGCAGTACTGCTTTTTTGAGGTGCGAATGACGGGGGACCTCCAAAAGTACGCCAAGTCGGACTTTGAAGGCCTGTATCTCGCGATAGAATCGTTTCCCCAGAAAAACCAATATACCGTTGGAAAGTCCATACAAAGGGCTTTCATTTCATGTCATTTTCATTTTCCTGCCAGCGTTCGCAGTACTGATTTTTTGAGGTGCGAATGACGCGGGACCTCCAAAAGTACGCCAAGTCGAACTTTGAAGGCCTGTATCTCGCGATAGAATCGTTTCCTCGGAAAAACCGATATACCGTTGAAAAGCCCATACAAAGGGCTTTCATTACGTGTCATTCTCATTTTCCTGCCAGCGTTCGCAATACTAATTTTTTGAGGTGCGAATGACGCGGGACCTCCAAAAAGTACGCCAAGTCGGACTTTGAAGGCCTGTATCTCGCGATAGAATCGTTTCCCCGGAAAAACCGATATACCGTTGGAAAGCCCATACAAAGGGCTTTCATTACATGTCATTTTCATTTTCCTGCCAGCGTTCGCAGTACTGATTTTTTGAGGTGCGAATGACGCGGGACCTCCAAAAGTACGCCAAGTCGGACTGTGAAGGCCTGTATCTCGCGATAGAATCGTTTCCTCGGAAAAACCGATATACCGTTGAAAAGCCCATACAAAGGGCTTTCATTACGTGTCATTCTCATTTTCCTATATGCGTTCGCAATACTAATCTTTTGAGGTGCGAATGACGCGGGACCTCCAAAAAGTACGCCAAGTCGGACTTTGAAGGCCTGTATCTCGCGATAGAATCGTTTCCCCGGAAAAATCGATATACCGTTGGAAAGCTCACATTAAGGGCTTTAATTACGCGTGTTTTTTATTTTCCTACGTGGTGTCCCAATACCGACTCTTTTAGGTTAACCGTATTTTTGCACCTTGAAAAAATCGAAAAATTGCCGATTTTTGAATAAATTTGGCAAAAATGGATAAAAACTATATACGAAATGATAGCTCTTTTTATGTTCTATCAACTGAAACAAACCGCACCTATGTATCTTTAATTGCTCAAAAGTTATGGGGTTTAACATGTTTCAACTTTCAAAAATGGCAACGTCGCACTCGGGGGGCTGGGGACTAAACCAACCCCGGATTTGGAGACCGGAAGTGCCCCTCTATCACTGGTATGAATTTCGTTAACTTTTGAAACGGGCACATTTGGGGGGTCCGTGCATAGAGTCCTTTTCAAGACTTAAAATTACACAGAAAAGACAAAGTCATTTCTTTGATTGCCATGAATTCAGGTTTGAAAATTCATGATACGATTGTGCCTATAGATACTAACCTCTTATATCAAAGAATTATGAAAACTGTCAGAAGCGACACTGAGTTAGAAAATTACTTCAACTACGAGCTTTCACCGATTCCGCAGGCCTTGTTTGACTCACATGGAATGCGGAAAGGCACAAATTCGACTTTGTATAAATCATTCAATGTGTCCAAAAATCTCAAGTTGACAACCGAAAATTGCAAATTTGTGATAGATGGGGGCTACCTCCTGCACTGTGTCATCTGGCCTCGCGTCGGCACCTTTTTAGATGTGTTTAATGCTTATGTGAAATATGTTGAAAAGCATTACGGTCTTGAATGTTTAATTGTTTTTGATGGATACGAACATAATGCAGATTCTACAAAAAGCGCTGAGAGGTGTCGACGTTACAGCCTTAAGAAATGTCCTGACTTAATGTTTTCTGAGGACACTCCTCTAACCTTGGCCCAGGACTTGTTTCTTTCTAATGAAAAGAATAAGGCGCGTTTGATTTGCTTGCTATCGAAACACTTGACTACAGGGAGTCAAATTAAAGTATATCAAGCAGAAGACGATGCGGACACTCTCATCGTAAATAAAGCTATTAGTGTAGTGAGAGAGACGAACAAACAAGTTGCTATCGTCGGTGAAGACATAGATCTTCTTGTCCTAATGGTAGCCTTGACGCCTGCACCAAGTGACGTCCCATTATTAAAACCAGGTAAGGGCAAGAATGCAGCACAAATTTTTAGCGCAAATGAGTTACAAACATCGAATGCAAATTTGAAGAAGAGCATTCTGTTTATCCACGCCGTTAGTGGATGTGACACCACCTCCGCATTTCGTGGCAAGGGCAAAGGCACATTCATTAAGCTGTTGGAAAAATGTGCCGAAGTTTCTCGAATTGCTGAAAAATTTAATGAAATTGACTGCACTCAAGAAGAGCTCTGTCAAGCGGGTGAGCAACTTGTTCTTCTGCTGTACGGTGCCAAAAAATCTGTCACCGCCTTGAATAAATGCAGATTTCAATGTTTTAATCGGGCTTTGGCAAGGCAAAAAACTGAGGTGAAACTGCAAACGTTGCCTCCAACTTCAGATGCGTGCAAGCAACACTTCTTACGTGTATATTATCAAGTTCAACTCTGGAGAGGAAGAAAACTGAATCCCAAGGAATGGGGGTGGAAATCTTCGGAACTCGGACTTCTCCCTGTGCCTATGCTCAACCCGCCTGCCCCCCAAGAACTTTTACAAATCATCTCATGTACATGTTCGAAAGGCTGCAGTAACCGCTGCTCTTGTAAGAGAGCTGGTCTACCATGCAGTGACATTTGTCTACATTGTTCCGGCTTGGGATGCAGCAATCAAGCAGAAACACTGATCGAGGAGGAAGCAGAGGATGAATTTGAACCAGCAACCGCCGCTTAAGGTAATAAACGAAGAATGCTTGTCTTTCTCTTTCTATATTCTGTATTAATTCATTTCCTTTTAGTCACTTTGAAACAGGAAGATTTGTTGTTTGACAAATTGTATTTGAATAAGAAAGCATAAAATAATAACATCATCTTCAAGCGCGACCGTTGACATTTATTAAGCATACCACAAGCATGACCTAACAGGGGAAGGGGGGGGGAGGGTTCATGATGAAAGGAAATGGGCACATATGTAAATGGATAATATGACTTACCCTCGCGGTAAATCTACCAAAAAAGTGAAGCCGTTTCATTTTGGACCGCAACAATTCATGGCGCGGCTGAGCCGAGATTCACCGCGTAGTTGCCGCCGTTGGTTCGGACCGCATAGCGCTCCGGGGGCGGACCCCCTAGTGAATTCATAAGCATTTTTAGCATGGAGATTTCATGCTCTTTCATTCCGGTGAAAACACTTTTTTGCCTCAGACTCACCGTTTTTAAGATAATTACAGATTTTGTTGAAAAAACGCGATTTCTCGCAAGATTTGACTTTCCTAGCCGCAGGAAACTACCGCCATATCTCACGAACCAGATGTCACAATTTAATAAACGTATAGTGTTTCTAATAGGAAATTTTATGGTCTTTCTAAAAGGTTCAGTGACATTTTTCCGTAGGATTGATATTTTTCAAGATATAAGCTAAAAACCGGCCGCCGGCGGCGTATTTTGGCCCCCCGCCCCCCCTTTTTTCAAAATGGCGGCCTTAGCGGACAGCCGATTTTGGTAAACTTTTGATATGTTGTTCTGGTAGCCTAATGCAACATATTTCCGCAAAGAAACCTTCTATATATAGATTTTCCCAGGAAAATGCTAGATTGACTGGACTATTTGGTAATTTTGGTTTTTATTATTTGAAAGTTCAACTGTGATCAGCATGTATAAAATATTTAAGATGAAATTTGTTGGTTAGACTTAACATCACAACATAGACCCTTCAATTTTGCAGATACCACAAGGATAGCCAACAAACATGAATAGTTGTATGAACCCGGCGTTATGAAGGGGCGTTGTTTACCTACTTTAAATAGAAAGTGTCTAAGTTTTGTGGCCACGTTTGGACAGTGAGTAAGAATGAGAGATAAACAAGCAAAAACCAAAGAATGAAAACAGTGCATTACTTTACATCCTTTGGCTCCTAAAGGAGATAATGAAGAGAAAGTTGGAAGCAAATGACTCAGAGCTGCATTGACTCTAGGAAAAGTATTTTAGATTAAAAAGTATACACATATAATTAGAACTTATTTCAGCTAAATACTAATTGACACCAACTTGCATCCGAAAAAATTAATTATGAAAAATGAAAAAGGAAAGAAAGAAAGTGAAGAAAATTCAAATACTTTATGATAAGGTCCGGATTTCTTTCAAAATGAAAAAATAATGGCTTTCTAAAAATAGCGTGAGACGGAAAGCAGTTCAACAAACTTTGAATGGCAATGCACATGCAAAGTCGGAACAGAAATACTAGTAATTGAAAATTAAGACAAATTATTAAAAATACCGCTCGTCCAGTTGTTGTCTTCCCCTCAGAGGTTCCTCGCGTTTTTGCTTTGACAATAAAGTGGTGTCATCAGATCGGAACGGTAAATCAATGAAGCTTGGAAAAATAGGAGAAAATAAATAACAGAAGAAAATAAAAAAAATCGTCGTCATGCCGCAGGAAAGGAACAACTTTTGCAATTTTATCAGCTGTAGGTAAATGTTTTGACTTTTGCAAAATCAAAAGCAGATCCCAGTAGGTACCCATCATAAAAATGGTATACCCAATGCTAAGTGATTTATCAAACATTTCTCAAGTTCCCATGACCGGTATTGCTATCGCACTGCGACTGCAGGCACCAGCTTGTTTTTACTTGCGCTTGAAAATCTATAAAAAAAAAGGGTTTTTGGAGGGGCTCTTTGCAGACGGGCTCAGACCAAGTGTACAAAAAGTGAGGATTTGGAAAGAAGGAGGAGAAAAGATTATATGAAGGGCAAAAAAGGAAATAAAAATGAGAAAAAATAAAGTACATTGCTTTAAAACTCGTTAAATATTGATCAGCTAATGTTTTTAAAGATTGGTCCAGTAGATTTCTATAAGGAGGAGAGGGGGGATGGGGGAAGCAATGATAAATCAAAACTGATCAATCTTGGAGCGATTTAAGTTTATAATGTTGCTCATTGTAGACACAAGAAAGCTTTGGTGATGTTATAAGTGTAAAGAATCACAGCTTTTTTAACCTGTGCATGAATGTAAAGGGAGAGGCTTAGCCGTTTTAGGTTATCCACGAATGTGTGAGGTGCTAAACCTGGGACGAAAATATTGAATGGCACAATATGGACTTCATCCAGTTCCTTTAACAGAGCCTTTTCCAGAGCCTTTTAACTTCATGAGCCAGTGGCGTCTCATATTATTATTATTAACTAGCTGTAATTAGAACAGGTTCTAATTGTTTGATTTGACAACAACATATTTGCGTCTTTGCCGCTGGATAGTTTGTGCTACTTCGATCTCAAAAACTACTGGACCTATTCACTTCGAATTACACAGTCACTTGCGGAGCGAGTAACCGGGGGCCAGGGAGCGAAGCCCCCGGCTAGCGGTGCAAGCGAGCGTAGCGAGCTGAAGCAGCTCGTCAAAATTAAAAGGCAAATGTCTTAAGTTTGCCTGAGTTTATCATGAGAACCCATCAGGCTCTTGATTGACCCAAAATTTCCCTGGGCACAATTGGGTTCAATTTCTCGACATTTTGAAGTCTCTATGTAATTTGACGAAAATTATTTGAAATTTTCGGGGTGTAACATGCACTGTCAATTTATAAAGAAACACATTGTTGGGTGAAATTTTGAACTGTTGCAATGCAATGAAACGCCCAGCTCTCACGTATTCAAGTATTCAATTCCTCTACAGGAGAAGGAAGGTTGCTGAATTTGCTCCCATTGCATAATCCAAGTTGGCTCTCTTGAAAAAAGGCAGAGAAAGAAAGATTTTTTAAAATCGCAATGTTGCTTACCTCTATGCCTCGATGATTGAATGGTTGCAGAATTGACGATGAGATTATGGATACTGGGCACGGATTGGCAGATTTCCCAGCCACCACTTTATTTAAATAAAAAGTAAAATCCGAAAATTGTCCCTCCCCCCTTTGCCCTTAAATTTTGAATTATTGTAGATTCACCTGTCCATGTGGAAAGTACCGCCTGAGATATAGGTATAGCAGCACAAATGCGGGGAATATTGGTAAATATGAATGAAATTTGGATTCTTTGGGGTTGATTATCTATCCTCTCCAAAGGTCAAGGTCCCTAGCTTTGTCCCACCTTAATTAACTGAAAAAAGGCCTGATAGGGACGGTAGGTTTGAGCTACCCTGTGTGCATATGGCTTGTTGCATATTTTTTTTTAATTTGATCCGAACAAAATACGTCAAACAAGATGATCGTTGTAGTACTTCAGCTAACATACTTGTTCGCATTACGAAAGAGATTCTGCACCACCTTTAGTAGAGGTGTATGGATACATAACTACAGGTTTTTAATGAATTACTAGTTTAACATCTTCCCCAAAGTCATTTAAGAGTGAATAGAATAGTCTTGAATGGCATGAATATATTATTGCTCAGTTTATTACAGTAAAGCGTGCAAAGACGCACTGCTTCAATAATTACCTTAAAAATCACAGATAAAATCACGCTGAGTTCAACTGCAGAGTTGGGAATGTAAGCATCATAACGTAGCTGCATTGCATTTCTAGAAGGCGTGGATGAAACGGCGATTGAAACTATGTCGACTGTAACGCTGTCGATCGAAAGGGTGTCGCCCGAATCAATGTCGATTGGAATAATGTCAAAAGAATCACTGTAAATATACTGACTTTGTCGATCGATCTGTGTTGATCGAATTGCGTTTCTATTTTTTGATGGAACTGTTTTGAGTGAACCAACGTCAATCGAAACAATGTCGACGTAAAAGTGATTTTTGTTTAAAGATTTCAAATTGAAATTTTCGAACGAAACAATGTCGATCGAATCTATGTCGATTAAAAATACGTCGGTGAAAACTGTGTCGATCAAAAATGTTTCGATGGAAAGCATGTCAATGAAAAAAATTTTGATCGAAAGAGTGTCGATCAAATCTACGATCGACTTGTGTCGACGATTTTTGTACCCACCGTTTCATCCTTTTTAAAGTTAGTAGGAAAATGATTCAAAGACAGCGTCTCACATTGGGACGAAAAGGTGTCTAAACGGGACATTCGCTTATTTGACGATATATTATCGCCAAATCTCCTCGGAACTTGGCATTTAAAGTCATTTTGGTACACGGAATTCAACTCTATGTTCAATCTTTCGTTCATTGGAAAGATTCTGCAAAAAAAATGTGGCTGCCAAGTCTCTGTTTGAATCCATTTGATAAATAGATTAGCATGATTATAGTGGAGATTTAACGCCCTTTTTTCAATTTTGGCTGTTTTCATTGAAAAAAATTAATTAATCTTGAAATTGGGATAGTTCTTCACTGAGAAATCTCACCTGCCCCCCATCCTCTTTCCTGTCGCCAAAACCACAGCAATGTTCGACTAGGGAAATAAGTTCACCTCACTCTGTCCACTCTCCATCCTAACTGATCCCTACAGTTTTTAAATCAATTTTTTGGGGTTTTTTTTTTAAAAAACTTTTTCTCTTCTACTTTGGCGCGCCACTTTTTAAAGTCTGGTTGGTACGTGATGAGTTATAGGCACTCAAACGTCCTAATCTGAAGATGAAAGGGAGAAATTCTATACTCCAGTAACTCGGAATTTCTCTAAGGGCTCTTCTGCACTTCTGCAGTATCATTCATTTGAACAGGTGTAGAGCCACACAAATAACAAGTTAAAGTTGGCATATTGCCTCTTAAAATATTACACATTTTTCCGTCGAACACGGTGCTGTGCAGGTCATGAGACACCGACAAATTTTCTACTCCAGTTGAACTTATATTTTCGATTTCAGACTCGATTTAAGACACTGTTTCAGTTACGACTTCATTCGATTGTTTGACAAATTTAAAAAAAAAAAAAAAAAAAAAAAAAAAAATTAATCCTTCTACAGAAAAAAGTGGAGGATGACCATCGCAATCATCATCCCACATGTCAGATGAGCATAGCAGGAAGCTGATAAGCAGCGAAGCAGCTGCGGCGCGGCGGCCAGGAAAGCCCGTTGCACTCAACCGCAACCGTCAATCAGCCTGCTTGAGCGCTCGATTTTAAGCGATCCTTGCTCATGTTTTCGCTTGTAACTTCCAAAGTCGGAATTAGTCGGATGAAAACTGATATTATTCTGAAAGCTGAGGATACGTAGATTCTCGGTTTACAAACCGTTTTGTGGACAAGTCTGGACATTGTTTTAAAACTTTAATGGAACTTTGAATTTTAGTTTTTTCACTTTTCGTTTTTGAATTCACTCTCTGACTCCCAAAAATAAAAACCAACCATAACTAAAGACCTTAAGGATAAGCCTGCGTCTGTATTAAATTGTCATAACAAAAAATTGCACTTAAAGTCATCTCGGTATCTACAGAAGCAATTTGTGCACGATGAGCTGGTACATACCTCTTTTTCTTGTATTCCCAAAACACTCGTTTTTCTACATCTGCCATTGGAATATTCTTCAAGTAAATTGTTACAATCTTCGTTACTCTGGAAGTTTGGACCCTCTAGGTAACTTCTATACCTTTGATTTTTGCTTTTAATGAATTTCATTTTTACCTTGAATGCCCCGTTACCATAATGGGCCCATCCCAATGTGCATCTGGTTGAGAGAGGGAGTTTCTTTGATTTGATCTGATAAAAACTCACTCTCCATTTCTTCCTAATAACAGTTTCCTTTGATTTAACTAAGCATTGAAACCTAGAAAAATTAAATAGATTTAACTCAAAGTTGAAAATAAATAATTTTATTTTTAAACATCTTAGAAATACAATTTTAAAAATGCACTGAAGCAAATGACTGAGTGGGGAAATAATGAAAACATAAAAATCAGTGGCATGGCTCTTGGTAATGAGAAGGTGAGTGGACCACGAGAAAAATTTCCCGGGAGATCAGATTCATAGTAATATAAGTTCGAAGGTATGACTGTAAATGAACCTAAGTATCTTACGCAAGTTTTTATCTTATCAAATTAAAAAAACTGCATCTCTCTACCTAGCTTCAAAAACTCGTGCATTTTATTCAATTTTGTCTCTCAACCAGACGCTATCTTTGAATCATTTTCCTACTAACTTTCAGAAGGATGAATTTGCGTTAAGCAATACTAAAATTTGAACTGGGGAGGTGGATTGGTTTATTTTTGCTGTACCTAATTAATTTTTCTGTGTCTTTGTCTCCATGAGGTCTTATATGAGCAACAGGGCATTGTTTTGGTGCAAAACACAGAGCTTTTCTTTTCTGGTTCTCAATATTTTAAAAGTGAAAGATGATCAGCTTAAACTTTCTTCCTTTTTATTCATTTTGTAAAATAGACTCAGTTCTTCTACTTTTAGTCCCGAATGGAAGTGGTAGAACAAATAATTAACAAATTGGCCAAGCATTGCAAAAAATCTTCTCTTAGTCTGAGGCAAGTAGAGCTTTATGTTAATATTAACTTTGAGGAAATACAGAAAATTGAAATAGACTAGTAATAATAATGGGCCATTCAAAGATATAACTTCCTTCAGTAGCTGTCAATGACAATAGATTAGGTGCATGCGTATAAATTATCAATTATATAACTCATATGTTTTTAAAAAAAATTATTTCAAATTATGTCTTCTTAATCATTCTGCATACCTTAAAGTGTCAGGGAAATTTTCCAAAATTTGTCAGTGAATTTCATTTTCTAAAATTTGTGGCAACCCTACAAAATGAGCATTTTTGAATATCGCTAAAATTCACCCCATCTTTGGGAACCGATATCTTGGGGACGGAGCGCCGGATGGGAAAACCCTTTAAAATAGTATCTTAGAATGATGTACCTAAAGACCCTCTTTACCAATTTTCAGCAAAATCGGAGGGTACTGGTCATGGGGCCCAGCACAGTTGATGTGGAATGACCCAGCTGTTTATGAAGAACACTGAATGGTTGTAGGTTCATCTCCACTTTGGAGGTGACTCCTTACAGTCAAAGTTATTTATTTTTAAGAAACCAAGGCAGGGTGCTTGTCTGAAAGATGCCTGCTGAGAGGTTTCTTTCCTCAGATGGCGAGGTTTGGCTGTGTTCTGGTGTGTGGGAACTTGGTTTGATGGGACTGTTGGGGTGTAATCGTGCTGCTTCATCTAGCCCAGGGACTTCTGGAGTATTCTGGTTTTGCCTAAAACAGCAGACCCCTGGGCCTAAATCAACAAATGCCTCCCATACATTTCATTTTAATTTTAACATTATTTACCTCTAAGCATTCAAAATCCTTGAAACACTTTTACATCTTAGCTTGCTATTGAAAGCAGGATACTCTCTGAACATTGAGAATTCAAAATGCTGAAATGTATTTTTTTATATACTTCATTAAATCAGTGATTAATTTTTTAAATGATTTTTAATGATGATGAAGTATTAAACCTTACTGTGAACATTCTATTGAAGATCATGGCGGAGGTACTGAAAAACAATCAAAGCAGCTGGCGAATAACTCAGAAACTAAATGCCAGTCGAATCCAGGGAAAATTTCAGATTACAATCCTCTCGGATCAGACATGATGAAGAATTCGCCATATTCTGCCAGACAATCATCAACAGTCATTTATACGTCCCAAGATGGACCTGGTGAGACCTATCATTATGTTCGTTTTGCATGATGGTTGTGATTAAGTTCGGCTCTGGGTTTTCAAATCTTCCCAAATCTGTACTTCACAATAAACCTTTGTCTCTCTCCTTTTCTTTCACATCTCCTTGGAACTGATAAAAACTAATAGGATGTATTATCAGGTTCCTTTACTCATGTCTTTGACATTGCAAGAGAGATGTATTTTCATTTATAATTCAGATAAGTGTGTCCACCAGATGTCTTGCTATAACTCAATGCGTGCTGCTCATAAGAGTGTATTAACATTGCTGTTTTCCTTAATGTTGGAGACCATTCCCTTCTATCAAAGATGGACCGTTTCCCTAATTTTATTGACAATTTTCCAAATTTTTGTTGATATTAACACCAGAAAAAGCCTAAAGTGTTTGAGACCCGAAGGTCTGAAGAGGATTTGTTCAAAAATAATATGTTCAAGGAGATTTTGCCACTTGACAATATAGACACCCTCTTCTGCACTGTATATGATAAATCACAGTCATTTATATTGGAGATCGATGCTTGAACTCTATGTATATGTTAGCGGCAAAACCCGATTCCAGGCAAAACTAGTTTTGCCTAGGCAAATCTAGTTCTGCCAGGTATGAACCGGCAAAACTAGATCTGCCTAGTCAAAACCTGTTTTGCCTGATTTGTGTAGGCAAAACTAGCCGACCGCAGGCGGAACTAGTTTTGCCTGCTGATGTTCAGGCAAAACTGATGAGGTCCGGCCAAACTAGTCCTGCCAATAGAAATTGATTAGTACAAGCGGAGTATTCGGCGATGCTGAGCGAGCCCGAATTACGTACCACTATTTACATTTCGGGAAACCATTTTGTGTTTTGAAGCCTTTAGTATCTAAAAAAACAGCTACGGTCGCTGCGGTGTTATTAATTCGGTGTTTTTATCTTTTGGGGCCCCTTTTATTTTACACTCGTATAATGGACGGGAATTCGTCAACGAACTTGTAACTCAACTTGCTAAATTATGGAAAGAATTGAAGATTGTCCATGGTAAACCACGAAAGTCGCAAAGTCAGGGCTCAGTGGAGCGTGCAAATTGAGATGTGCAGGACATGTTAGCAGCATGGATGAGGGACAATTACAGCAGTCATCGGGCCCAAGGTTTGCGTTATGTTCAGTTCATGAAGAATCGTAGTAGCATCGTAACAAATATTAGCACCGAAGAAGTTTCAGAGAAAAGTAGCACCGAAGAAGTTTCAGAGAGAAGAAGCACCGAAGAAGTTTCAGAAAAAAGGAGCGCTGAACAAGAGAGTAGCACCGAAGAAGTTTCGGAAAAAAGTAGCGCTAACCAAGAAAGTATCACCGAAAAAGTTTCGGAAAAAAGTTTATTTTTTATTTTTAACTTTTGATTATTATATTTTATTTTTAATTTTTGATTATTATTTTTTATTTTTAATTTTTGATCATTATTTTTTATTTTTAATTTTTGATTATTATTTTTTATTTTTAATTTTTGATTGTAATTTTATATTTTTAATTTTTGATCATTATTTTTTATTTTTAATTTTTGATTATTATTTTTTATTTTTAATTTTTGATTATTATTTTTTATTTTTAATTTTTGATTATTATTTTTAATTTTTGTTTATAATTTTTATTTTTAATTTTTGATTATTATTTTTTATTTTTAATTTGTGATTATTATTTTTTATTTTTAATTTTTGATTATTATTTTTATTTTTAATTTTTGATTATTATTTTTTATCTTTAATTTTTGGTGTACATACTTTTTCTGGTCCGGCAAAACTAGTTTTGCCTGGTCGTGTTCAGGCAAAACTGACAGCACTTTGGCGTAACTAGTTTTGCCTACTTGGCGCAGGCAAAACTAGATTCCTCGGAAAAATGCATTTTTGCCTAGGCAAAACTAGTTTTGCCTGGAATCTGGTTTTGCCGCTAACGTACATACATCTTCTTGTCTAACTAAATACTGATCTACCTCCTTTGCATATAAATGAACATGTTATCAATTTGAAGGAGGGTGTAACAGCTAATTTTCGGAAATTGATTTTTTGACGGAGTATTTTTCTTTGAGAGAGGAAGCATTTTTATACCGGGTGATTCTACCAAAATTTCTCTTTAAGTGTCTGCTTTTAACATTTGAGAATCTGCTTCACTAGAAGAGGACGGTAAGTTCCTAGCCAGACTTCCCAGCGGAGGGTGCTTCCTAATGATAAAAATCTCTTAATGAAACATGAGAAATGTCTCTTTAATAATTCATCCTTTAACCATAATATCCAGTTGAGAAGGTCTTTACTAACTGTCTGAAATCCAGGTTGTGGATTGTGGTAATAAAGAGCGACGCCAAGAATGGCACAATTTGGGTCAGCTGGGATTTTTCTGAAACCGGGCCGAAACAATACCTTATGTTACCCTAAGACTCTGGTAAAAAATTTTAGCTTGCGTATACGCACGGTTTTTGAGAAAACGGGGGTAAAGTTGCCAAATCGCCATCATTCTGGACAGCATTTTTATAGCAAAACGACGGGGGAAAAGGACGAAAAACTTACACCTTTGACGGGTTTTGGCTGTAAATGTTCTTATTGGGCCCCTGTGCATATAGCTGTGTTCAGTTCCAAAAATTTCGGTCGTACAGTGGTCCAAAATGGGGAGAAATCGTGGACAACTCAGGTTTCTTTGTCAAATTTTTAAAAATGGAAGTAAATTGTCGGTTTCCTGCAGTTTTCATGGCTATCAATGTTCTTATCGGTCCGCAATCCAGTAACTTGTGTTCAGCTTCATAAATTCTCATTGCACAGTGGTCCAAAATGGGCAAATTAGTGGATAAATTAAGAATCTCTGTCAAACTTTTTAAAAATGAAGTAAAACTATTGGTCCCCTGCCAAGTTCAGATCCCGGAAAAATTAATGTATTTAATTTTTTTTTAATTATTACTGTTTGTCACACCATATTGTTTATAGAACTTTGTTATAGATTAGATTTTGTAGCATTATTTGCTTCTACATTGCATTGAAAATAATGGGGAAGCTTTTTCACCAAGTCTTGGTATTAATCTTTGAGGAATTTTTTTTGTTCATTTTACCTTAGTTTTAGGTATTATTTATTTTTTTCTTCATTTCTTTTCTTTCTTTTTTTCTGTTTTTCTGATTCTTTTTTGTTTTCTGATTTTTTATTTTCTTTTGTTTTTGACTTTTTCAATTTTCTTTTGTTCTCTGTTTTTTCTTAATTTTTTTTTTGTTTTCTGTTTTTTTAAAAAAAATTTTGTTTTCTGTTTTTTGAATTGTTTTTGATTTTTTAAATCTTTTTTAAAATTTTTTCTCCTTTTTTTCTCATCTTTTTTTAAATTTCTGAAAGTTTGCATATTTTATTGAAATAATGCTATAAAATCTAATTACAACCAAGTTCTATAAACAATACGGTGTGACAAACAGTAATAATTAAAAAAAAATTAAATACATTAATTTTTCCGGGATCTGAACTTGGCAGGGGACCAACAGTTTTACTTCATTTTTAAAAAGTTTGACAGAGATTCTTAATTTATCCACTAATTTGCCCATTTTGGACCACTGTGCAATGAGAATTTATGAAGCTGAACACAAGTTACTGGATTGCGGACCGATAAGAACATTGATAGCCATGAAAACTGCAGGAAACCGACAATTTACTTCCATTTTTAAAAATTTGACAAAGAAACCTGAGTTGTCCACGATTTCTCCCCATTTTGGACCACTGTACGACCGAAATTTTTGGAACTGAACACAGCTATATGCACAGGGGCCCAATAAGAACATTTACAGCCAAAACCCGTCAAAGGTGTAAGTTTTTCGTCCTTTTCCCCCGTCGTTTTGCTATAAAAATGCTGTCCAGAATGATGGCGATTTGGCAACTTTACCCCTGTTTTCTCAAAAACCGTGCGAATACGCAAGCTAAAATTTTTACCAGAGTCTTAGGGTAATATAAGGTATCTTTTGGGCCCGGTTTCAGAAAAATACCTGCTGACCCAAATTGTGCCAAAAAACGGTTGTTTTTGGCGACGCTGTTTTCAGTTCGCTTTATGTAATTATTTTTCTTAAAAACTCCTACCTTGTTACTTTATCTGCTTTGGTAATAATCTTTCTCTGTTTGAAATTCTGCCAAATTGGGTCTTGCCCACATATAGTCTTATATTCTCCATGTGCAGTCTCATAATATCTCTACACTTGCAATATATTCCACCATCCTCTTAGGGTATGAGTAGCATCTTTTCAAACCTTAATTTAATGCTTTTCCTTCATTCCTGCTCAAAATTACACTGGATAGATTAACCATCTGCCATCTGTAGTTTGATTGGCCGTAGCTAAGCTCTGTTAGGATGAACAGCAGAAGGTGGATTTAAACCCAATGTTGGTGATGAAGGTAATCTATATGAGGAACTTTAATGTCTGAAAAAACAGAAATTTTCAAGAAGCTAGAGAAACTTTTTAATGTTGACTATTAAGAAGTGGACGATTTCATTTTCAAATGAAGGAGAAAACAGTTCATAGAGAAGCAAAATTTGAGAACCCCATTTGCCAACACAGACAGGAGCATTCACCGCAAAAAATTTCTACGATAACAACAACAAGCGATTGATAAGTAATATACTCTACAATTTGAATAAGAAAAACACCTAACACTAGTTGCAACTTGTAGTTTGCTGAAGAAGTTGGACAAGATTCTATCAAAACATTTGTCCATTTTACATGAGGTAAAGGAATTAGTCCCAAAACTTCGCGACCTTATATATAATTATGACAATAAGTATTCCTTGTTTATAAATTAATCATATTTGACAATACATGTCATATTTGTCATTTTGTACCTAAGTAGGATGTTGCCGCTTGTTAACCTTTTAAAGATCTTACATTTTTATCATCTTTTACAGTGCGTAAAGTTACAAGTCAGCGTATTGGGTCAATTGCAGATTGGGATCCTGTAGCTGTTAACTATTCCCCTCCACCTAGCCAAAATCAGAACTACAGAAATAATCCACCACCAACATCATACATGTCGTCAGGAGTAAGTTTTGCTATTAATCCCTAATTCATTTTATTTACCTTACTTGTATGTATTCTTGGTGTACTTTGCTTGGCTTTGCAGCATCATTTGTAAAATGTGTCTCTTTGGGAGTTTGAATCAGATTTTTTTCTTTAGTAGGAAGACTTCTTGAAATTGGCAACTTAGTCCCCCAAGGCTATTTGCCATTCACAAGTCAGGGCTTCTGTCACTATTTATTTTTGTTTTGTTCTTATTTGCGGTAGACATTTGGACCGCGTTTAGCAGAAAGGAACTCAGCCACATCAGGTATTGCCAAAAACTGGGTAATTTAATTTTTTTTCAAGAGAACGTTTGTTCACATTCCGTTGAATCTTTCTAAGAACTTCGTGCTTCGCAGAAAATTAACTGAAATTTGGCAATAGCTGATGTGGCCTGGTTCCTATCTGTTTCACGCGGTTCATTTTACCCTTAATATTTGACGTATATGTTTCTAGGATGTGTAGGCTTGTCATTCTCAATTGAATCAGTGGGAATGAGAACACACCAACTTGGAAAAATCAAAATTTACAGGATACTCAAAAAACTGCTCAGTAGGTGAAGCAGTTATCATGAGAAAAAGCTTTTTGGTGCCGAAGGAGAGGCATCGAAAGATTTGACAAGACCTTTAAGGCCCAAATTGAAATGGATGCGCCACCTTTAGTGACCAAAAATGGGGCTTTTTGAAGTTGCAAAATTAGTGTGTTTTCATTCTCACCAATGAAGGCCCTGTTTTTTTGTGTGTTTTGGTCTAAGATACTTACATTTTTCAGCTTGTGGCCCTCCAATTATCGGGGAACTTGGCTGTAGAAAATTCACATATAACAGAAAAATGAAATTCTCGAATTTGGATGGGCAGCCATTTTTGTGAAGTAGAATTGAATTAGTATTGCAATATGATACAGAGCCGGATTTATGGGGGGCCCATGGTGCCATGGCACCTGGCGGCAAATTTTAGGAGGCGGCAAATTTGGAATTTTTCTTGTTTTTTATAGATAAAAAGGAGTGTATGTTTCATGTCTGCCTTTTACGTGTCACAAATCCTCGTTCCTTGAAGAACCATTTCCCCCTCTTTAAATATTTGCTTGCAACACTTTCCTGCACAGATGCGCATCCTTCTCACTATTGCAGAATCAGATTGCGCTCTTGCCGTGTTTCTGAAACTTACATTTCGTGCTCATTGGCATCGCGTGAATCTATAAGATATTAAATTGATCAAGATTAAGATATTATATTATTGATCCGATATGAAATCTCCAGCTGGAAAGAAAGAAATCCCTAAGTACCCAGATTTGCTCAAATATCCCCCAAAAATCCCCAGATATTGCAAAAAACCGCCATTTTCAAAGTAGGATTATTTCATCATTCGATGTGCCGATTTGCAATATTGAAATCTGATTGGCTTGTTTGAATTTTGCCGCCCTATGAAAGCGTTGAACGGACCAATAAAACGAAAGAATATTAATTGAGGAGTTTATTTTTATTTTTATTATTATTCTGTTGAATTGTCAAGTATATGGAGTGACGCAATCGTTATATGTTCCGGCCTATTATCAGGGAAAAATAGTGTTGCCAATATGGCCTACAAAATATAGATGAAAAATACTTTCTATTGAGTTACAGGTAAAGTTGAAGGTAAGAGAGTCGATTTTTACTTACTTTTATCTCATCAAAAAAATCCCTAGATTGTCAGAAAAATCCTTAGATATCGGATCACAGTCTGTCACCATGTATTGGGGGGGGGGGGGCCAAAATATTGTTCGCAGCAGGCGGCAAAAACCGAAATCTGGCTCTGAATAAGAGTGTTAAACCTTTCCCCTCTTTTTTATCTCTCTCCTTACAACCTGCGTGAGAACAATTTCCATTCGCGCGAAAAAAAAACAATTTTTAGAAAAACAAAGGACGACGGACCGGTCTTATGTGAAAAGTGGGCCCGGTTAAATCGGCTGGCGTTTTGATATGTTGTAGGTCTTAACCTACTGATCAAAAGTGTCAATGGGCATTTCTCCCTATCTCGAAGTTTTACCCCCCATTTTGGGGGTCAAAGTTGCCAATTCGGCGTATATTTGGCAGTTTTGACACCCGGGTTTATTGGTCGCCTATGAGATTCTTTGATGGTTTCTTGAGTCTTTTGTATCCTCTGAATAGGCTAGAGACCATCCGAACTCAAAAACTGACAATTTCGCCTTATGGGTA